CTCATTGCAATCCAACAGAGAAATGAAAAAAAATATGGATATTTTGTATGTCTTTAGTACCTACACAAGGATGACAGGGATCCCAGGCATGACAAAGCACCTGCCTAGCAAAGGAGCGTGCCACAGGCCCTGCTGGGGACTCACAAACCACCAGGGGTATTGCCTTAGCGACCTAAAATTGCAAAAACAGTGAACAACTCCTGGTAATGTTCTCAAGAGAAAAATAAGTGCACTCTCCCTTTGATTTACATGGTAGCACATGCCCAGGAAAATGCAGTGTGTATTCTAACCTAGCCAAAATACCACTCGTGTTATTCTTGCCTGAGATGGTGGAGCCAATGTTTATTTTTTTTTTCCTTAGAAAAGCTTTTAAGGCAACACATTTTCCTAAACTCAGTATTATTCCGTGGGTTCTGCTAGTTTATTTTTTGAATAAGCTGCAGGTTCATTTTTATTTCCTCAATAATTAGGATACATTAATTTTGTAAAAATACTTTTCTGAGAGCTCCTTTTGAGATTTATATTATGTATTTTTACTTCTATTGGATCACAATCAGAAAATATAATTTGAAGAATTTAAATGTTAGAATTTCAGATTTTTCTTGGGGCCCTACTTGAGCATTTACTTTTGTAAATGCTTGGTGAAACTCTTGAATAGGTGGAATTCTAGTTTACAGAACAAAATATCTTTCCCATAGTTAGGAAGTCAGCATGAGTAGTTAGTTTTATTCTTCTAATAACCATTTTTTAAAAAAATTTTATTAGTGAAACACCATGAGGTAGTGGTAGACTTACAAATTTTTGTGCTTGGGTTTCAGTTATACAATGATCGAGTACCCATCCCTCCAACAGTGCCCATTCTCCACCACCACGGATCCCAGTATCCCTCCCATTTCCCATCCTCCCAATCCCACCCTGCCTCTGTGGCAGGGCATTCCCTTTTGTTCTCTCTCTCTTTTTGGGTGCTGTGGTTTGCAAAAGAGGAATTGAGTGGCAATCATGTTTGGTCTATAGTCTTTCAGCATGCATCTCCCGTCCTAGGCAGATCCTCCCAACACCCTTTTGGTGCTCCCTTCTCTGAGCTGCCTTTTCTCCTAGCATATGCGGCTGGCCTCCGAGCCATGGAGTAAACCTCCTGGTACTTACCTCAGCTATTCTTGGGTGTTAGTCTCCTATTTTGTTACTTTATGTTCCCCAGATGAATGCCATCTTTCTAGGTCTGTTCTTCTCTTTCTAACTCATTTCGCTTAGCATGATACTTTCCATGTAGTACCACTTGTATGTAAATTTCATGACTTCATCTTTTCTAACAGCTACATAGTACTCCATTGTGTGGATGTACCAAAGTTTCTTTAACCAGTCATCTGTTCTTGGGCACTCAGGTTTTTTCCAGATTCTAGCTATTGTAAACAGTGCTGCAATGAACAAACAAGTGCAGATGTCACTTCGACTCAACTTTTTTTCCTCTCTGGAATATTTTCCCAAGAGTGGTATTACTGGGTCAAATGGGAGCTCAATTTCTAATTTTTTGAGAATCGTCCATACTGTTTTCCAAAAGGGTTGAACCAGTCGGCATTCTCACCAGCAGTGAAGGAGTGTTCCTTTCTCCCCACATCCAGGCCAACACAGGTTGCTTTTGTTCTTTTCAGTGTGGGCCAGTCTCTGTGGTGTGAAATGATATCTCATTGTTGTTTTGATCTGTATCTCCCTGATGATTAATGATGCAGAGCATTTTCTCATGTGCTAAAAGGCACATGAGAAAATGTTCTATAACTATTTTTAAGGTCTAAAAGAATTATTTTTAGGATGGCTGAATAATAATGACTTCATTACACTTCTTAGATTTTTGGTCTTCCTTTTGTGGGATATACTGTTGCTAATGAATGGCTTTCAGGGGCTGGAGCAATAGCAAAGTAGGTAGGGTATTTGCCTTGCAAGCAGCAGACCCAGGTTCGATTCCCAGCATCTCATATGGTCCCCTGAGCACTGCCAGGAGTAAGTCCTGAGTGCATAAGCCAGGAGTAACCTCTGTGGATTGCTGGGTGTGACCAAAAAAGAAAAAAAAAGGCTTTCAGCACAGTATCATTCAATTTTAGTTACCCCTTGCTTTTCATTTATTGGCAATACGTGGCCTGTTTCTGTCTGTATGCTTCCTTTTCATCTCTTGAGAACTGTATGACTGGTTGCCATTTTTAAGGGATTGAAAAGTTCTCTTCATGCATAAAGTTTGTTTGATAGTAAGATGCATGACAGTAAGATGCTGTGGTCTTGATTTTTGTCCTCTCACTTAATTTTCTTATTGATTTCTCCTTGTATTTATTCTTAGTCCCACAGATGATCAACTTCAATTAAAAAAAAGTAATATTTAAGTACATTTGCATCATTCTTTCTTCAGTCCTCTACCTATAGTGAGTTTGGCATGTATATAACTCCACCCATCAAAATATTAAATTCATATTTTTCTGGCTTTTTTGGTTTCTGGCAATTCAGGGTTTACTCTTGGCTCTGTACTTGGGAATTACTTTTGGTGGAGTTGGAGAACCATATGAGATGCTGGAGATCAGACCCAGATCAGCCACATGCAAGGCAAGCACATTACCTACTATACTCTCTCCATCCCCTTTCTTTGACTCCCACAGAAAACTGTCCCCAATCCTCATAAGTACACATGGTAAAATTTCTTGTTTTATGATTAACATACCATCGTTGGTGCTAGAGTATATAAGTACAGAGGTTAAGGCACTTGCCTTGCATAAGGTCAACCCAGTTCAGTACTACATAAGTTCTTCAAACACCTCCAGGTGTGGCCCAATCCTGCCCCACCCCCTTCGAATTCCATGGTGTGTGTGTGAACACATTCATCCATCCATGTCTCAGTTGTGTGAACAAAGCTGCACAAACATGGTATCTCTTGAAGATCATAATTTTCTCTCTTTAGGATATCCAGCAATCCCAAAAGAGGGGTTGATGGATCATACAATTCTATTTTTAATTTTGAGGAACTTTCTTTGCAGGCTGCAAAAATTTACATTCCCACCAACTGTGTCTAGGAAGAGCATTTGTTTTTCAAGCAGTTTAGGAAGAAAGTTCAGACCTGGGCCAGCAGTTTAGTAATATTAAAGATTTAGGAGCTGTTTCATTACTATGTCATTTTCCTTAGATTTGCCTTCATTTGCCTCTAGTTTAGAATCCAGTTTAGAATAGCTAGCATGTTGTCAAATATCCCAAACAGGAAGAATGAAGTGAAAGCATGTTTCTAACTCATATCTTGTTTAAAATCTAGGACTTAAATGTTTCTTATAATTCCATTTGGTAGCATGACCAGTTCAGACCAATGCCTGCAAAGAGATGGTCATTATTTTTCTTTTTATTTGGGGGGGACAGGAACCACACCTGGCAGTGCTGAGGGATCATTCCTGGTAAGGCTTAAGGGGCTATTTGAGGTGCCAGGATTGAACCTGGGTCAGCTGTGTGCAATGCAGACGCCCTACCTGCTGTACTATAGCTCCAGTTCCAGTCCTGTTCTGATTAATTTAGACCATATCTAGTTCATCACAAAGACTGGGATTCAAACTAAAGAGAAACCTATTTCATGAATTTTATTGCTTCCAATAACCACTGTTTGAAGAATAACCCATCATACAGGTAAAGATGTGTTAAAGTACATCTGAAAGTGTTTTGAGAACATTTTTTATCTTTTGGTATATATGCAATTTACAATCACTGTTCCTATTACCAAATCATACCTGTCTCTAGCTTTGCCTCAGTTTACAGTCAAATTGAGCAGTATAAAGCCGGGAAAACAGCAAGGAGTTGGAAGAAGCTGAACCACAATTCAAACCCTGATTCCAATATTCATCCCTAGAGGCCCTCAGTTCTAAAATATGAATCTACTATCTTCCAGGAAGTTGTGAGAATTTAATGAGTGCATGGAACCATACAGGTATTCGGCAAAATACTAATTGGTCTGGCAGGGATGCCTGTGTAAGAGCAAACTATTTCCTGTCCTTCAAAATTTTAAGTAGAACTTAGCAAGCATTTGAAAGGTAGAAACATAAGGAATGGCAATGATGCAATTAGGGCTATTTCTTTGAAATTGATATCAATTATTATAGTACATATAGTGACTACAAATAATTATTGGTTTGCTCTTGTATTGAAGATCGCCAGGAAATTTCTAGTGAACTTACTAACATGGGAACTTGTGACTATGAATATTTCAACAGTCATTTAAAAACTGTGTGATGTGATTATTAACTTTTATTATTATTAACTTCTATCCCAGGTTGTGTTCCAAAAACATCATCTGGATCAGTGCTTCCACATCCTGCCCACAGCTGTCACCTAAATTTCGAAGGCAAGTTTTCTTTTTGCTTTTCTGATGAGAAAATGAGGATCAGAGAGATTGACTTTCTCAGTGGTGGTAACTTTAGTACTACTGCATTTCTCTGATTAATTGGAAAAAATATTTGCCATCAAATCTGCAATAAAGAGTGGGCTGTGACCATTATGTAAAGCTTTTTTGGGGGGGAGAGGCAGGGGGTTGTATGGGGTTACCAGCTAGTGCGCAGTGGCAAGTGCTTTAGCCCTTCCCGATACTATTTACCCAGCCCTCATTGAAGCTTTACGAAAGGCGGAATGTTTATGTGGTGAAGTATGGTAGTCAAATAGAAAGTTTGAACCCAAGAATTCTGGATTCCATTCCCAATTGCTTAACTGCTGCACCATTCAATATTTCAGTGGAACAGAGTTGTGGCTAACTGGCTCAGCTGTCCTGTAATACTAAGTAGCATTTTGTCCCCATCCATACAGCTGGAGCTGCTTTGGTAGACTGGAACCTGGAAATGTCCTTCCCCAGGAATGAGAGATATATCCACAGTCTCTATCAAGGATGGGCCCAGTTTGTCCACGTTGTATTTCTCCATAAACAATTACAGAGTACAGGGTAGCATCAGACAAGTGAAACATTTGTATGCAAGAACCTTGATGAAACCAATGGGTGTTTGAAATAAATATCAAATTTAATTCTAGACACAGAAAATACAGTATGTCTTAGCATTAGAAAATAGAATTGTTCTACCACAGAAAACGTACAAGTGCAAAAACCATTTTCAGGATATAATTTGAAGATTCTTTATTAAGAGCAAAGGTTCTCTATTGTAGCTCAAGTCCCTGACAGTCAGAAAGATAACAAAAATCTATACCTTCAGTAAGCTGGTCAGAAGTTTTGTAAAAATTTTTACATGCTTTGTCAATTTAAAATTACTATAATTTAGATACATTCAATTATACAATACCAGAAATGTCAGCTTCAAAGCAGGAAGTTGAGAGTGAAGAAAACACTAATACAAGGGCTCTTTGAGTTGAACTTACTGTTGAATTTTAATCAAATTTGTCTAAGCATCAAAATGGTCATATTAGATTCTACTATTCTACCTCTTAAAAAGATGTTCCAAGTGTTTCCTTTGCGCTAGAGCTGAGCAATATTTTTAAAAAAATAGCTTAAAAGGGAAGAATGTTCTAGGTAACAACTCTGTTTATAGCAATCCTACCTCCCCACTTTATACTGTTTCTATCACCACGGTGGAGAACTGATGCAACTATTAAAAAATTTGGAATACCTAAATTATATACATTTCCCCATTACTTTTTTTTATATATGGAGTTCTGATCTGTGATAAATTTCAGTCAGTTTTCAAAGAGAATATTCTGCCTCAATTATCCATTAAGAATGTATTTTCTTAGATTAGCCAAATAACTATCAGACTTGATAAGTATATTTAGTTAATAGACTTAGAATTTGTTTAATTATATTAAGTAATGTTGAGCCTGATTATTCTGCTGTATCATGGCCACTGGAGTAGTTTTTATCTGTTTCTGATAAGGAAATCCAGTGATGGACTAATTATTTTAAATGCACATGTAATACATGTGTTCATTTCTCTGTGCATGAGTAAAGGTCAAATATTTACATGGAATGTTGACCCTGACTTGTTATAAAACTGCCATTTTGAAATGGTGGCAGTTTTACATATAATCTATTTTAAGAATAGGCCCATTTGATAATTAAAAAAATATGTCTTTCATGTGTTTCATAAATATATAAAATTTCACTCTATTCTATTTTTTTAAAACATCACATAACTCTACAAATCAAAAAAATATTTTTGATTGGTAAGGTTTGAGTGCATGCAAGAATGGCAGGACATATACAATTATGGACATTTCTAGCAATATAATTTACTTACTAAAAGATCAGTAGTATCAAAGAGAAATAAAGAGATTCTCTTGAAATATTTACAGTGAGTCTTTTAAAATGGCAAGATTAGAACAGCATCTGGCCAGTTTTAAGAATTGTTCTGATGGTGAACAAATAAGTTAACAGTATATGAAAAGTTTTCTAAAATACACCTTAGTATAATTTATATATGATCAATTTATACATATTTGAAAAATGATCCCATTTTCTTTTTCTGTATTAGTAACTCTTAGAATAAGAATCACATTGTTATAATTTATGGGAACAATCCAAAGTCAGCTTAAAAATAACATTCTTGGTGACACCAGAAGTGTCAGGTGAGGGTTTATTAATGTAAAGGCTCCCTGTAATCATTACTTCTCCCAATATGTCATCATTCTCAGACTGACACTTCAGGAAAGATTATGGGTGTGATACAATTTTTAAAAAGTTTATCTTCCCTCAACTTGTTACTAATATGTATTCATTCCTAAGGCCTAACATGAAGACTCCTTCTCTAAGGCCAATTTTCACAATTCATGGAAGATCTTTAAATACACACACTGTGCAAAGAAAAAGGTTGCACTTTTTGAAAAGAGAGAGAACTGCTCCCTACTGCCAGCAGATGAATCCATCCAGAAAAATAGCAAAGCTATTTCACTCCTAGCAGAGACGCTCAAGGCTGCTAAATTAATACCTTCAACCGGCAACGTGCAAACTGCAAGACAATGGGGCATAGCTAAAACCTGAGGATTGAACTCTACCATTCTTTTAACTTTCTTTAAAACACTCAACCTTAACTTAGTGATAAACAACCAGAAGATTCAGTGTTTTGCTCAGACAGGACCAAGCACACTCTGATTTTTGGTTACACTCAACACTGTGTTTGAAATAAGGCTATTTTCAAAAAAGATACCAAAACCAACATTGAAATTTAACCAAGATTGCACACCTAGGACAGTGATACAGATTTTAAAAACCCTACCACCAGTTAGGTCATGGAGTCAATCATGCACTCTATGGAAAGGGGAGTTTCGGAAATTCCCTGTGACTAGGAATGTAGCCAGCTCACTGGGACCCAGTGAGCGTCTGTCTCTAGTTTATCAAAAGTTGTTTTTAACTCGTTGAATGCCACAGTAAGATCATCATTGACTATAGTTTTGTCAAAAAGATGACCATATTGACTTTCCATGATCTGTGCAGATTTAATCATTTCTTGAAAGTCTTCTTCCTACAAAAGTAAAGAAAGTGGTTAACCAGACAGTCCCATCAGTTCACATCAATGTTAACATTCACAACTGATTTATAGAAGGTTTCTGTGTGTGTCTCATGTTTTCATTACCTTCTTGAATTCAAATTCCTCAGAAATCATGTTTTCTACAGCTCTATGATATACTTGTAAATAATCTGCTTTGGCAAGAGTGAAAATTTTCACCAGGCTGGAAGGAACTTCAGGATAGTTACTATAAGGTTATCATGGTATTAACAGTTTAATACCATAATTAAAATTATGGTGTGGGGTGTTAGGGGGAGATATTTGCTCTGATGCTTTGACTGCATTGCTGATTTACAGTAATAAACTATTTCACTCAGAGTTTGGTACATTTATAAAAGGATCTTCTGGTCTCATTAGAACTTCAGTCACATTTTAAAAAATAATTTTATTTGGCTAGAGAATTCAATACTAAAATAAAAGAGATAAATATGAGTCAAAGCCTACGAATATTTTTGGTCACCAATCATCATAGAGAAAATTTTAACTTTTTTTTTTGCCTTTTGGGTCACACCTGGCAATGCTCAGGGGTTACTCCTGGCTCTGCACTCAGGAATTACTCCTGGCAGTGCTCGGGGGACCATATGAGATGCTTGGAATCGAACCTGGGTTGGCCGCGTGCAAGGCAAACGCCCTACCCACTGTGCTATCGCTCCAGCCCCTGAAAATTTTAATTTTATACATAATACTGTAACTCTTTATACTTCAACATGGTAATTTTAGAATTTTCATATTTCAATGTCACAGATTTTACAAAAACACAAAACTTTACTGTCAAATGAGAATTATCAAATATTGGTAATCAAAGAGTCTATTTTAACAATTAATTATCTATAAATTAGTAGAAACTAAAGATAAGTAAATTAAGGGGGTGAGCTTTTGAAAATTTCTTTTTTATTTAGTCTTTTGGCTGTGCTCAGTGGACCATGTGCCAGGGATCAAACCTGGGTCGGCTGAGTGCAAGAAAAGCACCTGGACCCTTGTATTCTATCTTCAGCCCCTGCTTTTTAAGAAGTAACACATGATCTTAAGCTAAAAAGCCAAAAATTTTTCAAAAAGGAAAGAAAAACAAAGATCTCACACAGTAAAGATCTCACACAGTCATTATAATCATTAATGCAGTCTGTCATCAGTTTCAGTAAGTTTTATTGAATAATAAATGATTGTCTGCTTTATAACCAAAGTACTGCCTTTTCTTTTACTATTAAGTGTGATTATTGATGCAAGGAGACAAAAAGAATTAATTAATAAATATTTCATTTGACTATGAATAATGTGCTTTGGTGTTTCTCCTAAAAATAAAGCTAGTCTGAGGCCAGAGAGATAGTCTAGTGTGCAGGACATTTGTCCTGCACCTGGCTGACCTGGGTTTATTTATTTATTTTTTTTTTGCTTTTTGGGTCACATCTAGTGATGCACAGGTCTTATTCCTGGCTCTTCTTCATTCAGGAATCATGCCTGGTGGTGCTCAGGGGAACATATGAGATGCTGGGAATCGAACCTGGGTTGGCCACGTGCAAGGCAAACCCTTGGCAAGACCTTCCCATTGTACTATCCCTCCAGCCCTGACCTGGGTTTGATTTCCATATATATGGTTCCCCCGAGCCCATGAGGGTATATTCCTGAGTGCAGAGCTAAAAGTAAGTCCTGAGCATTTCCAGGTGTGACCCTAAAATAAATTAATAAAAAATAAAAGTAAGGCTAGTCTGAAAACAAATAGGTCTTTGTGATAAAATGCTAATTCTGAGACAGGTTTGATCGCTAAAATTTTTCTGAGTACCATAAAGGCCTACAAAATAGTTTTGAATTGGTGTAATAGGATATGAAGATCCATCCACAGAGCACAAAAAAGCAACTGCAGTTCAATCTCTCAAGACATGCAGGTGACTGCTAGAGATTTGGGGTGCCACGTCCATCTGTTATTGTCTTCCAAAGAGTTTTACCACATAGATGATTTTATGTGCTGCTTCTGTCTTTTCATCAAATTATCACCATACTCACGGTAAAGGGCTTTGCAGCCGTGTGGTCATCTCTGCTTGAAATAATCTTTGCATTTTTCCTCGTTACTCTCAAACGCTCTATTGAGGGGGGCTTGATAAATATCACATAGGGCTTAAATTCCAGTGTCCGTAAATGCTTCACGGTCTGCAAGGAAGAAAACAACTTCCTGTATTTCTCCATAATATCACAGGCAGGTTTTATAGTTAACACTGAATCTTCTTTCCAAGGGCAAAAAAAAAAATTCCTGAAAACTCTTTCATAATTAAATTGAGGTCTTTTCAACATATAATTATTCAGTCACTTGTTGTCAACTAAATGTCATAGTCCCTGAAAAGATGATGGAGATTGTAACTTGCTTTGAAATCGTGTGTTAGAACATGTCATAACATTGAACAGAAGCAACTCCAACTACCATGGAGCTGGGTGTTCCATCAAAAAATACCCTCCCCCAGAGATACTATTAAATTTCCCAACCATCCTGTTTAAGGCTCTTTCACATCTGAGGAATGAGTTCTAGTTAGCCCCCAGCTCTCTATGAAGCTCAGTCAACACCCCAACACCCCTTGAATGTTTTGTTATTTATACTACTCTTCCAGGGACTCATTTACCATCAAAGGTGAACAACAGAAGGGCGAAAATGGAAGGCTACTCCTGGTGTGCATGCAAGAACCTCTGAAAATTGAGCATGAACTATAAAAGCCACTGAGAGGCTTAGACAAGTCACAAGAGTGTGTGTGTGTGTGTGTGTGTGTGTGTGTGTGTGCGCGCGCGAGGGGGAGAGAAGGCTCTAAAGCCCTGGTAACAGAGACTAAGCCACACCAACGGAAGTGGGAACGACCAGACCCAGTCCACCAATTGGAGAAGACGAGCTCCTCACTGGAGCCTACAATAGGAGGCAGATACTCGACTGGTTCTTGGGACTCCTATTCCAGATGCAGCGTCCTCAAGAGACACAAAAGGGAAAAGGCAGTTGGGATACAGAAGGGACTACTAAGTAAACAATGGTTGGAGGGTTTGCTTGGGATGGGAGATGTGTGCTGAAAGTAGATTATGGACCAAACATGATGGCCACTTCACACCTGTATTGCAAACAATAACACCCAACAGGAGGGGGGGGGGGTGATGTGCCTGCCACAGAGAGAGGCAGGGGGTGGGAAGAGGTGAGGGTGGTGGAGAACGGGCACTGGTAGAGGGATGGGTACTTGAACATTGTATGACTGAAACGTAACTGTATCTCATGGTGATTCATTAAAATAAAAATAAAATTAAAAGCATACAATGAGAAAAAAAGAGCGAGAGAGAGAGCCAAAGGGGCACTCATTAGCTGGGCAGTGGAAGGCTGTGCCTCATGGAGTACAGCCATTGGAAGGACAGTTCGTGACCACTGAGTGAGACATGGTGGGTTGAGCTGCTGCTGGAGGCTCTGAGGTCTGTGATAGAGGACTGAGGGGTTCTATCTTTTATCCACTGGTCTGACATTTGCAGCATGCCTTGCGAAGTCCCAGCTGTCAGCTGCTGTAGGGATCTGATGCAGGACATTTCCCTGACTGCCCCACAGATCTTGCTGGGGCGCCAACATTTCTAGAATGTAGAATGTGCACAGAACCAAAATTCAAAGGAGGAGAAGCAAAAAGCAAAGGTCCTTTGTTTAAAAACTATCAACGCTTGTGACAACACATTTAAGCATCATTAATACTTGCCCAAAGCAATGTAAACTAAAGAACACAGACGTATTTAGAGGCCTCTCCTACTTTTTCCTATTATTATGAGCTGCTACAAAAAAAATTTCAATTTTTTTAGATGCATCCGTCATCTTAGAAAAATATACACGTACAGTGAAAGTGAGTAGACTTGAGATTCACTCCATATTAATATGCTCAAAGAAATGTAGAAAATTAATAGGTCAGAAAGGTAAGGAGTTAGTGTACTGTTTACTTACATGGGGTTGAACATCCAACAAACACACTTTATTTTTAGCTATCACAGACCGCACTGAGTCTATACTAGTGCCATAATAGTTGTTCTTATATTCACCATATTCAATAAACCTGCAGAAAATTACACATGCATCAGAACCATTTGTGAGCATAGATAAAGACAAGATAGAATTCAAGTATTTTTCCTAGATACATAAAATTATTACTGCATCTAATAAAGAACCAACTATTTGAGAATGTCAATTAAATTTTTTTTTCTATTTTACTTTTACATCTGGAGCGATAGCACAGCGGGTAGGGCGTTCGCCTTACAAGCGGTCAACATGGCCGACCCGAGTTCGATTCCTCCGCCCCTCTCGGAGAGCCCGGCAAGCTACCGAGAGTATTCGATATGCCAGACACAGTTACAACAAAGTCTCCAATGGAGACGTTACTGGGCCCGCTCGAGCAAATCGACGATCAACGGGAGGGCCTTTACCTTTACCTTTTACTTTTACATCTGTAATACTTGCTTATATTCGTTAAGCAGAAAGAAGTACTTGAGCCCAGCAGTTACTCTGCTTTCCATCACCTCTTTGGGGGAACAAACGAAATGCATTAAGATAGCAAATAAGCTAAACAATAGAAACTGCTGAAATTTCACTGCACACTACAGAATTAGCAAGGATCATTTTATAACTACACTAGGAACTGTGGTAGCTTTTGTAACCAGGGCAGCTTATTATGTGCTATTAAAAAACACAACTGCTTTGCCAAACACAAACATTTTGATGTTTCAATAAAATCTGATGATCCTGCCTTAAAACAGGAGCTGCTCCGTAACACTCTGAATTCTATTAGCAAGTAGAAGACGTGAGAAAAGCCATGAGCTACCAAGAGGATATTTGCATTGTTTAAATGATTAACACTGTTTAAATCTTTACTTAGGCATGGTGATCTATAATACTGTCAATTATGACATTTCATGCTTACAATGCTCTTACCTCACACACACCAGAGAATCTGTGTTCCTCCAGCAACAGCTCAAGGTCTCTCATCCCCCCATTGGTACACTTGGTTTTAGAGGCTGACTCCGTATCTGCTGCCACTGGCCCTTTGTTAATCCCTTACTGTTTTTTATCGGCCACAAAAGAAGGAAATCATTCTGACTTTGCCTCTCCCTCTGATTTCATTCAGCAGGATACCTTCTAGTTCCATGCCCTCTAGTTCCATCCACAGAGTGGTCAATTGCATGATTTTATCTTTACAGCTGAGTATATTTCACTGTTTACATATACCTTTTTATTTATTTTTTAAATCTGCCTATCAGTTCTTTTTTTTGGGGGGGGGGGGTGGGGGTCACACCCAGTGATGCTCAGGGATTACTCCTGGCCCTGCTTTCAGGAATTACTCCTGGCAGTGCTTGGGGGACCATATGGGAAGCTGGAAACTGAACCTAGGTCGGCCGCGTGCAAGGCAAACGCTCTACCTGCTGTGCTGTTGCTCCAGCCCCATAAATCTGCCTATCTGTTCTTGGGGACTTATCAGAGTGTCAATTGTCAATCAAGAATTGTCAATCCTGGGGTAGACAACAGAAGTGGAATTGCTGGGTCAAATGGAAGCACAATTCTTAATTTGGGGAGAAGGCTCCAGAGTGTTCAAAGAGGCTGAACCTATGACACTCCCACTGAGCGTGAATAAAGATTCTCTTTTCACAACAACCTTACCAGTACTCATTTCTATTTTTTTTAAATGTGTGCCAGTCCTATCCATGTGATATAAAATCTCATTGTTTTGATTTGTGTTTCTTTGATAAGTGCTGAAGAACACTTTTTTTCATATACCCACTGGACATCCGTAGGTCTTCCTTGAGGAAGTGTTTGTTCAGCTATACCTGGGGCTATACCTGGCAGTGCTCAGGGGACCATATGTGATGCTGGGGAACGAACTGGGGTCCACGCAAGGCAATAGCCTTAACCCATATATTGTTTCTCCAGTCCTAGTTTTTAAAATAAGGTTATTTCTAAATTATATTTTAAGATTCAAAACCTGTGGTGGAAAGAGGTTACAACAATACATAAATGACCTTTTCTCCATTCTTCAAAGAAGCTACCATACATTGAGCTTACCTGAATGATAGCAGCTCTGGGGGATTAAAAATTAACATGTGAAGACTTTTAACTACCAACTGGATTATCACCTTTTTATTACTTTGAAATATTAAAATAATTTCAATGGAGGGCTCCTATACACTGACAAAAACTATATATATGTACACACACAATGATTAAAAACAATAGCCACACAAAAATTCAAAAAATAACTTCAACATACTTGTTATTTTGTACATCTGTCTCAAACAAATGCTTGGAAATGAAAATATATTCAACACCATCACTCTCCTGGCTTCGTCTTGCTCTGGTTGTATCTGTAATTTAATTAAAAGGTATTGAGATAAGTTGGTATCAGCTGCTTAAATAAAAATTCTAAAGAAACCACCGCATATTTATTTAGTACTTTGAAAAAGTTTTTAAACATATAAAATGGAAATTAGCTCATAAAACAGCACAGGGTAATAAATTCAAGTTTTCTAACAATATATTTAAAGATGAATTTAAAATTAGGTTGTATTGTGTCTGTACTATCTTGAAGGTCTTCTACTGTGGTAATGAAATTGCTACTTAATATGCTTGCTATATATCTTGATCTTTAATTGTAACATCAAGTAAAGTCTATGAAATTATAAAGTCAAACTATTTCATTGTCTTCCAAACACATTTGAGTAGGCCATCGATACTTTGTTTTACTAACTGAAGTCAAAGACCTCTATATGCTTTTCATCCCCCCCATTTTGTAAAACTATAAATATATTCTTGGAATATTGTGAGCTCCTTAATGTTTAGTAGTTATAATTATTTGTTACTGGATTATAATGGAATGGAAAATCCAGGATTTACTTGAAAAAGAAAAAAACCTAAAAGAGTTGCATATGGCAAGTACAAACTACTATCCATTCTTCCAGGTGATCCCAACGAAAATCTTCAGACAGCCCACCTTCCCCCAAAACAACTGTCTAAGCACTTTGAAAATAAAAGGCATATGAAAGGTAGGGAATAGTGGAATGAAGTCAACTGCAAGGAGGAAGAGTTTAACCTTTCTTTCCTCTTAACTTTGCCCTAAAGAATAGGAACTGTCCATAGAGAAGCAGGGTAGAATGTATGAATATACTCCAATAGAAGCCCTGATCTGGTGGTCAAGGGAGAATTCAGGAAGGACAAGAGCAGGTGAAAAAATAATTCTGTGTATGAACCAACTACACTTAAAAGAATTTCTAAGCTATACATTTTGTGCATTTCTCCACGCAACTAACTCTAACTCATGAATAATAAAAGTACATGTCTTCTAGAATGAAAAATAATAGAGATAGTGGAATTAATATTGTGATATATCGTTTTCTTCTTTAACTCTTTAAAATATATTACAAAGGTTGTAATATTGGGCTGGAGAGAGAATACAGGAGTTAGGCTTGCATATGGCTAACCTGGCAACATCCCTAGCATTGCATATGGTTCCCTGAACACTTCCAGGAGTGATCCCTGAGCACAGAAGTTAGTCCTGAGGCCTGCTGGGTGATGGTCCCAAAACAATTTATAAGATTATCTGGTGGAGTTTTGAATGTGTGCACATATATTTAACAATAATGAAAAGAAAAACAGATAGTAAAGAAAAATGATCATGAGCTTTCTAGATTTTATCTGAAATCCCATAAACTCTAAGCATGTATGATTAACTATATGCATATTTGAGTCCCCAGATAAATGACAAGAGCAGAAAGTTAATGGTCAAGTTAAAAGGAGATACTAAAATATATTCCATTCTAAGTACACATAGAGGGGGCCAGGGTGATAGTATAGCAGGTATGGGGTTTGCCTTGGATGCAGCCATCCTGGGCTTGATCTCCAGCATCCCATAGTCTCCTGAGCACTGCCAGAAGTGATTCCTGAGTGCAGAGCCAGGAGTAACCTTTGTAGCTTGGTGTGGCTCAAAAAACAAAACAAAACAAAAAGGCACACATAAAAAAGGAAAAAATAGAGAAAACCAGAAAATAATGAGTTCAATCATTTCCATAACTTAGTAAATGTTAATATCTGTACAATTCAATGAAAAGTCAGACTGACAGTGATAAAGGCCATCTAAGAGAAACATGCTTCCTAAATTTTTATTAGACAGACACATTAAGCGTAAAGGTACAGGTAAATTAAAAGAAGACAAATGGAAGACAACATAGCTATAAGTGGTAAATATATGAAGGCTGGAGTGGCTATTTTAATATCAGCTAAAATTGCCAACACTCGAATATCATCCTTGGATTTATCTCAAGATTCCCAGAAATACCTATTAGCAAACTTTTATGGCACTTATAATAATATTGAGAATTGCTTTTGTATTTTACATCATTTATTATTTTATATTTAATAGATTGCCTCCTCTCACTTCATGATGTTTATGGGTTTCACATGTAGTAGTGGGCTGTTTACTTGCACTGCATTTCAAGTAATTCATTGTGTGAATAGACTGCAAATAACTTATCCAGGCTACTCCTGTGGGCATTTGGTAGCTCCCAGTTTTGAGCTCTCCTGAATGATCTATCTAGAGCATCTGAGTTGATACACCTGTATTTTTTTTTTATTATGTGTAGTTAGAGTAAAGCTGTGAGGTCACAGGGAATATGTTTGCTCAACTCTGGTAGGAACTGATGGCCTGAGCTGGTATTTATAGCTGTTTTCTCCATGCATGTCTGAAGCTACATGTCATCTACAGTATCTGCTATACATAGATTCTCAGGCAATCTTTCAGTTCTCCTGAAGGAGAATCTCTTTTGGAAAGGCCTTGGGGTATTTTCATAAAGACCCCAACAAGTTATCATCAGTCAAGTCTGAAAACAATCCCGTGCTGGATCTTTTTACAGCAGCATCTGTCTAAAGTGAATCAAAGGAGCCAGAGGAGTAACTAAGATGCATGGAGGAAGCCCAGGCTTGATTTGCAGCACCACATGGCATTGTGTGAGTACAGTGAGAACTGCCGGGTGCAGCCCCAAACAAACAAAAAAACTGAATCAGAGTGTAGTGTGACCTAAACCAAACAACAAAAAACTGAGAGTGTGAAGATACTAAGTTAGGGATTTGTTTGAAGAGATCCCCATCCCAGTACCTTTCAAGATACTGTCCATTTCTATAACTTCAGAGGCTACTATTGTTTTAATAGATAAAACTGAGGTCAGAGTATCCCCAGAAGTGGAGTAGAAATAAAACTATCAGAAGTGGGTTATGTTTGACAGACAACCTTTTTAATACTGATTATCTTCCAAAAATCAGGTATTACTACTAACTGGAGTGTAGCAAAGAAAACCAGTTGTTTGAAAGAACTGGGTAGTGTTATTAATGAGGAATAATGAAAAGTGACAGCATAAAATGTGATTTTTAAATCTGACTATTGCCCATGGAACCAAGTCAAAACACCCTTCCTATTCCATTTTCTCCACTGTGATCTGGGGTAACTGCCACTTTCACACTGGGAGGATAAAACAAATTAAGACAGAGGAGATAAATAGGCAACAAGAAGTTAAAATTGTGGGTTTTACCCTTGTAATTTGTTTTCCTATCCTCTAGATTTCTTTTGAATTGCTCAAAGTTTAACAGTTATTTTGTACCTGTATATTGTAATTCGGATGTAAGAGAAATAACATTTTTTTTAAAAAAAGAAAAACAATTTAATTCCACATTTCCAGACTTTTCCTTTCATCTGTTGGTGGAAGCCAGGAATCCTATAACCTATGGCTGAAAACGATTACAAACAATCATCTGGAAAAATGTAGTAACAAGGAGTAGCTTGAAGTAATAGAAAACTATAATTTTAAAATAAAGTTGAACTCTTCCAAAACCCAGAGAACATGGCTAAGGGCAATATACAAACTGTTTTTTTAACAAGTACTAAAACCACTTGAAAAAGCCAACATTTCAATTTAGTCTTTTAGACAGCTTTCTAATATCAACATATTAAGTAGTCAAATGGCATTTATTCTGGAAATCAAAATGCTTCCAGCTCACATTTCATTGGTAAGAATGCCTGTGAAAACCACTTTTATAAAAATAGATCTAATTCTGTCTACTGAAAGGAAGCCACCACACTTAGATGATATGGCCGTGAAAGGGCCATTTAATACTATCTGCCAATTACTACATATAAAAAAGTAATTAAGGAAGGTTTATACTATAAGGAGCCTCCTTCAACTCTTGTGGTTTGCTCCTTCTAATCTTAAAGCTGGCACAAAGCAACTCTGGAGAGCATTAGCACTTTTTTTTAGGAAATAAAATACTTTTATTTAGAAGAAAATTTGTAAATAATTGGATGCCACTTAAGGTATTAAAATTCACTGCAAAAACCGGAGTGCAGGGGAGTTGTGATTAACTGCTGTCCTTCTGGTGATTACCGGGAGCAAATCTCTTAGGTCCTGTGTCTCAGTGTATGTCTCTGTACAGTGTAGATCTGTCACCATAGACCCCCTATGCTGCTGTGATGTCTGGGAGTGCTTTGATTATTGTAAGTGAATGCTTGGTAGCATGAATGATCTGCAAATGTGAGGAAGTCGGCCATACAGAGCTGGTGGTATTATAATGCACAGAAGTTGGGGCCAGAGAGATGATAGTATGATATGGAGGGCGCTTGCCATGCACACAGCCGACCTGGATTCAATCCCTGGGTTCAGTTCCCTGAGCACCACCAGGAATGATCCCTGAGTGTGGAGCCCGGCGTAAGCTCTGAGCACAGCAGTATGTCACCCTCCCCCAACAAGATCAAAAGTAAGCAGAGTGCAGGTCTTACGAGGCACTGTCACACCATAGTGTTGGGTATCACTGATGAGCAGCTTCCGTTTCAGTTCATTCAAACCTACTCCCACGGGACCTGAAAAGAAAAACAGGGTAAACAAATTCATTACTAAGCAGAACACCCTACTAACAGTTCTATACTTAATATGGATTCAGAAGACTGAGACCAATTTTGCAAGCCGAGATTACAAATCTCCAACTTGCACCGTAAGGAAAAGCTAGTTTTTTTTCCCTTTTGCAAGGGAGGTGGGGGGTTGCTTTTACAGTTGTTAAAATTCAAATTCCCATCTTCTTTTCTTTTTCAAGACTTTTTTTTTCTTTTCTTTTTTTATTAGTGAAAAACCATGAGGTACAGTTATAGGCTTACAAATTTTGTGCTTGGGTTTCAGTTATACAATGATCAAGTGCCCATCCCTCCACCAGTGCCCGTCATCCATCCCCACGGGTCCCAGCATCCCCCCCCCCAACCCTCATCGCCCCCGCCCCCCGTCCCATCCTGCCTCTGTGGCAGGGTATTCCCCCTTGTTCTCTCTCTCTTCTTTTGGGTATTGTGTTTTGCAAGAGAGGCTTTGAGTGGCAATCATGTTTGGTCTATCGACTACTTTTAGCATGCTTCTCCCACCCTGGGAGGACCCTCACAACACCCTTCATTTGGTACTCTCTTCTCTATCTGAGCTTCCTTTTCACCTAGAGCCTGTGGCTGGCCTTCCATTCATGGAGCAAAATTCCTGGTACTAATCTCAGCCATTCCTGGGTGTTACTCTCCCTTTTTGTTGCTTTATGTTCCCCAGATGAATGCAATCTTTCTGTGTCTATCCCGCTCTTTCTGACTCATTTCGCTTAACATGATACTTTCCATGTAGTACCACTTGTATGTAAATTTCATAACTTCATCTTTTCTAACAGCTACATAGTACTCCATTGTGTAAATGTACCAAAGTTTCTTTAACCAGTCATCTGTTCTTGGGCACTCAGGTTTTTTCCAGATTCTGGCTATTGTAAAGAGTGCTGCAATGAACAAACAATTGCAGATGTCACTCAAGACTTTTTTCAGATAGCACAGCGGTAGGGGGTTTGCCTTACAAGCGGTCAATATGCCCGACCTGAGTTCGATTCCTCCGCCCCTCTCGGAGAGCCCGGCAAGCTACCGAGAGTATCTCGCCCGCAGCAGAGCCTGGCAAGCTCCCCATGACGTATTCGATATGCCAAATACAGTAACAACAAGTCTCATGATAGAGACGTTACTGGGCCCGCTCGAGCAAATCGATGAACAACGGGAGGACCGTGACTGTGACCGAACTGCGAGGAATTTCTTTTTTTTTTTAAAAAAAAATTTTATTGGATTACTGTGAGATACGTTTTAGTCAAACAATGCTTGAACACCCATCCCTCCACCCACCTTTGCTTCCTGCTTCCAGCTTTCTTCCCAAGAAGTACCTACAATGCTGATATTCTTCTTTCCAACCTCAAGACAAATTTCCCTCAGTCCTGCATTCTCAGCAGTGCTCACAGCTGCCCCCACCAGCCTATCGTAGACCTGTGACTCTCACCGTCCTCCACTACAGACAGAGCAAATCAACTGCCTCCCTCAGTGAAAAGTACAGCAGGGAGGGTGTTTGCCTTGTATGCAGGTAATGCGGGTTCAATCCCCAGAATCTCATATGGTCCCCTGAGCACCGCCACAAGAAGTAATTCCTGAGTGCAGAGCCAAGAGTAACTCAGTATTGCAGGGTATGACACATAAAGGCAAAATCAAAACAAAACAAAAACCACAACCAAGTGCATCCCAGAGTGTGATCCATTTTGCTTGAATGGCTCTCACTTTTTTTCTCTTTTAAAACTTCTTTCTACTACCCACACAGCAAATAAAACAACAAACCCAGAATAACTTATTTCAGTAGGGGAGGGGAAAATTAGGTCTGTTGGAATGAGTGGGGAAAGGAGGCTATCTGAAATCCTTCAGTGATCTGCACTCAGTTTTAGCCTTTATAGAATCAAACTCAGCAGTGAGGGTACTGCAAGTGTTCAGGGGCAAATGATTTCACCTGAAAACTTCTCTATAGGTTCAGTTATTTGAGGCCATCTTTCAAGTTGAACAAATCTTTTTTTTGAGTGTTAAAATAGGTGTGTAACTTGACTCTTACCAGAAAATTGCCAAGCAATAATTCACAAACAGCATTTTGCTAATAGGTCCTCTATTCTACCATCCACAATGGAGAAAATTCTAGTGTCTTCTCTTTGGATCTGGGCTTAGAATACCAGAGCTATTTACACACTCAGTAGGGATGCAAACTGAGGTTTGCAATGAAACAGGTAGGTTTCTCCTTTAATATTTAAACTTTCAACTGCAGTAAGGAATACATGAATAGGTCACTATTTTTTATATGGGGTAAAAAATATTTTGAGTTGGGCTTGTGAATGTTATGAGAAATAGAAAAGATCGAAATAGCTGTGTTTAAGTCAAAGAACAATGACAAGTGATGACACAACGAGATCTTTCTGTGGTGGGTGTGTGACACATGTTTTACAAACACCATTACTGTTCTCAAGACACCCCTCATGAAGGACATTATTATTCTAATTTTACAAATAAGAAAATCAAAATAGGAAAGGCTGATTTACTATAGTCATATGAATGGAATACGGCTTACTGGTATTCCAAAGTCTACATCTTTCTTCTTACCTGTACCTTATTAAAATATCCATTAAAATACCCCCAGGAAGCCAATGAGTGCTCATCTTTTATTCATAGTCATGGCCTTTCACTTCATGGAGATTTTGATGACTATCTGTACAGTCAAATACGACCTGAAGTGGCAGGTGTCAAATCTGGGGATCTGAAGATGAGGTCTGGGAAGATTCAGAAAGTCTAAACTAGACTTCATAAAGATGTTGTACATACTGGTCAGGCTATATATACTGGACATGCCTTTTAGAGGTCTAGATTTGGGATGAAGGAAAATCAAATGCAACGGTGATCTAAGTGCAAGCCAAAAAAAGCACATGAAATAATCATTTTGGAGTATGCTGATTTGAAATTCAGGTAGTGAGTTAAAGCTGATGTGTTAAAAGAATGTTTCTGTTCCAAGCAGAAAACTAAGTATTTTTGCCTCTTTTCTAACTTTTTGCAAGCATTTAAATAATGGCTTTGTGCGCAGATACTGGAAAAACTAAAGTCACCTAATTAATCCTAATTACGTCAATTTTTGAACAACATGTGTCAACTGGATAATTAGATATATTAGTTTTACTTTTGTGCATTTAATTAGTAACTCCTGAGATCAGGCAAATGTGTTGTGTGAGGTTTTACATAAAGGTTTATTCATTTCAGCCCAAGAAATTCAGTTCATTTACAGTGGCAATAAAATGATGCTGGTAAAGTTTCTATTTAAAACTTTACATTTTAGAAAACATCCAAGTTAACTGATTGCAAAATGCCTTGTTTTTAACCTTAAAAGGATTTTTTGTTTGTTTTTGGGCCATACCCTGTGGTGCTCAGGGATTACCTCTGGTTCTGTTCTCAAGTATCACTCTAGGTGTGGCTAAGGGGACCATAAAGGGTGCTGAGGATTGAACCTGGGTCAGTGGTGTGCAAAGCAAATAGCCTACTGGCTCTATTATCACCCCAGCCCCACCTTAAAAAGGATTTTTTAAAAAAACATATAAGGTTGGAGAGATAGTTCAGCAGGTAAGGCACTTGCCTTGTGTGTAGCCAAGTCAGGTTTGATTCCCAGCACCTCATCTGGTTCCCAGTCCCTGAGTGATCCCTGAATAGAACTGAGTGTGGCCACCTCCTCTCTCTCCTAAAATAAAGCCAAAAGCCAAGAATACAAAAATCTATAAAAATTCTCAGCCTTCCATTTACATAGAATTTAGACACTTAAGACATTTTCTTAAGTGACCTCTAAGCCTGTTGACATTACTGACTTGTTATTATTATTCCATGTAATTATGAGAAGTTGAGTGTTTTCATTGCTTTAGTTTCAGATTTTCTTTTCATTTCCTAAAAATAACTGCAAGAGATTATGATCTGTAACAAATGTTTATATGTGGGAAACTTATGTATAAGGATGTATTTTCCAAATTAATTCATAGATGATGCATAAAAGTTTTTCTTTCTATAAACATGGATGTCCAAAAGATCTACTGTCTAGATCTAAAATGACGATTTATAATTAAAAACCAATAAAGGCAAATGAATTTTTCTTTGTACTTAATGCAGCAGGTATAAAGCATTGAAGCAATAAAACGAGTACTTAGAGCAGTACTTCAAAACAAATTTTACTGAAAAAGAATGATACAAAATATTGATAAACTGACTATTTATTACAGGGGGGGAAAAGGTTTACTGTTGCCTCTACAGTAAAGTACTCTGAAGCTTCAACCACCTATTATGCTTATGTTAATGAAGACTTTGATTATTTACTATAATGAGCTCTGCAAAAATATTTTAAAGTAGCAAAAATGTATGGGTTTTTTTTTTTTGCTTTTTCGGTCATGCCCAGTGATGCTCAGGGGTTACTCCTGGCTCTGCACTCAGGAATTCCTCCTGGCGGTGCTCAGAGGACCATATGGGATGCTGGGAATTGAACCCCGGTTGGCTGCGCACAAGGCAAATGCCCTACCCGCTATGCTATTGCTCTAGCTTCAAAAATGTATGTTTTTAAGGGCACTTGTGGTCTATAATGACTGAGCTTAAAGCAGCACGTTTACAATTAATGTAATCTTAAGGATGCTGAGTAGCACATTGAATTTAATCATGTAAATGCAGGTGGATATCAACTTAGCTGAAAGGACAATAATGTGTTAGGAAGGAACTTCTCAGAATGAGATTAAAGCAAGTGGCAATCAGCCAAATAAGTTTTTAACTCAGTATTCATGTAACAGCCATAAAGCATTGATGATAAAAATCTATTTTTATCTAGGCTTATATCTAGCATTAAATTATATGCTGGATAAAAATCTATTGCAATGACCAAGTACTATTCACTTTTGCTGTTGATCTTTGTACATCTTGGCACAAATATAAAAATGGCATATTATGTGGAAAGCTAGCTTTTACTGTGTGTTTACCTC